TGATTAAATCGATAAAATAAAATAAATTCACGCCTTCATTAATTTTTTTGAGTCACCCTGCATATGCAAATCCAAAAATATGAATGGAATGATAAATCACAAGTACAGACTCATCATATTTTGTACATTTTAGATACGATTTATTCGGCAAACTTTTGAGCTGACGTCATCAGTTTTTTGTAGAAGATAACCAAATATATTTTGACTAAAAATTTATTATGCTCTTTATAACCTTAAAACATCTGCAAGATTTCAAAGCATTCGGTTTTGTAGTTCCTGATTAAATCAATAAAATAAATTTACGCATTCATTAATTTTTTTGAGTCACCCTGTATATGCAAATCGAAAAAAATTGAATGGAATGATAAATCACAAGAAGAGACTCACCATATTTTGTACATTTTAGATAGGATTTATTCAGCAAAATTTTGTGGTGACGTCATAAATTTTTTAGGGGGGACGACCAAATACATTTTGATCAAAAATTTACCATGCTTATGATAATTTTAAAATATCTTCAAGATTTCGAAGCATTCGGTTTTGTAGTTCCTGAGTAAATCAGTAAAATAAATTTACGCTTTCATTTATTTTCTTGAATCACCCTGTATATGCAAATCCAAAAAATATGAATGGAGTGATAGATCACAAGTACAGACTGATCATATTTTGTACATTTTAGATATGATTTATTCGGCAAATTTTCGAGCTGACGTCATCAAGTTTTTGGAGGGGATAAGCAAATATATTTTGACTAAACATTTATTATGCTCTTTATAACCTTAAAACATCTGCAAGATGTCAGAGCATTCCGTTTTGTAGTTCCTGATTAAATCAATAAAATATATTTACGCATTCATTAATTTTTTTGAGTCACTCTGTATATGCAAATCCAAAAAATATGAATGGAGTGATAAATGACAAGTACAGGCTCATCATATTTTGTACATTTTAGATATGATTTATTCGGCAAACTTTCGAGCTGACGTCATCAAGTTTTTGGAGGGGATAAGCAAATATATTTTGACTAAACATTTATTATGCTCTTTAAGACCTTAAAACATCTGCAAGATTTCAGAGCATTCGGTTTTGTAGTTCCTGATTAAATCAATAAAATATATTTACGCATTCATTAATTTTTTTGAGTCACCCTGTATATGCAAATCCAAAAAATATGAATGGAGTGATAGATCACAAGTACAGACTCATCATATTTTGTACATTTTAGATATGATTTATTCCACAAACTTTTGAGCTGACGTCATCAAGTTTTTGGAGGGGATAAGCAAATATTTTTTGACTAAAGATTTATGATGCTCTTTATAGCCTTAAAACATCTGCAACATTTCAAAGCATTCTGGTTAGCAGATTAAAAATTAAATTTCAAAATGTTGTTTTATAATTTTGATTTTTTTTCCAAAAATCTGGACGTTTCGGGTGAAAAGTCGATTCAGAGTTGTAAACTACATGTGTAGGACTATGTTATTTTATACAATTGAAAACCCATTTACTATGTACAATTTTGAAGTGACGTCATCGCATTAGTGGTGGGGATGATTAGACAAATTTTGGTTAGCGTTTTACCATCTACATGATATTCTTAATATAAGTACAAAATTTCACAACAATCGGTCGAGTACTTTCGGAGATTATCTGTCTAATAAAAATCCGGGACGGCAGACGCACAGACGGACAGACGGACGGACAGACGGACGGACAGACGGGCAGACGGACAGACAGACGGAAATGGGAGACCTATTTCTTCGTCTTCTAGGGGTCATGAAAGATCGAGAAAACGTAAAAGTAGAGAGTCGGCCGACGGACTCGATTACAATACTTCCTTTGCTTACGCTCGGGAAGTAAAAAGAGAACACGGCTAAAAATATAAATGTGTGACCTTAAAAAGGTTAATGTTTCAACGTGAACCAAGTTTACATATGGCATCAATCACAACTATTATTTTCTAATTATTTGCAAACACTATAAATACATTTGCATTCTTTATTTTAAGATCTGTTAGATGAGATGCCACTTTACAGATATGTAGTTACATTAAAACAAATGAAATAGTAACATTAACTAGGTGCAGTCAGGCTCACGTAAATCCCGTCCAGATGACAAACTGAATTTGCATCCATCCTATTGATTTTGTAAAAATGAGGTTGGACGGGATTTATGTGAGCATGACTGTACAATATAGTGTATCAACGAATATTGTGGTTTTACGACATTCATTCCTTCACTGCCCTTGTCAACTTATATTTTTGTATAACATTCAACCCATTTTAAAATACAATTCATTGAAATGACGTCATTAAATTGTTGAGGGGGTGATCAGCCAAATTTTGGTTAGCTTTTAATCATCTACACGATATTTCTATATACATACAAAATTTGACAACAATCGATCCGCAGTTCCGGAGATTACGGGTCTAATAGCTTAACTTACGCTCGGGAAGTAAAAAGTGAGATGCGGAAGGTAACTGAACTGAAGACCTTAGCATTGCAAGCAGGACACGCTAACTGGTAAGCCGACCTTGTGTACCCACTTCCTCCCCCGTAACGTGTGACGTAAGTTATGGATCACCTTTTAGACAAATTTTGGTTAGCGTTTTACTATCTGCACGGTGCTTCTAACATATTCAATCATTTTAAGTGATGCTTGCAACAATCAAAATTTACAAGGAAATCATTTGTAAAACACAGAAAAAACAATTATGAAAAAGACCCTGAGGCCACAGTATTTTTGTACTTTCTTAAAATCACAACGACGATTTATCAAGTTATCAACTTTATATATCACTCTTTCCCAACGAGATCATATTGGACGTAAACGAATCCTTTCCTTTAAGAATGTATATGTGTAGTTTGATTTAGGTAGTTCTTGTTAGACTTTCAAAGATAATATCTTTAAAATTAGTAGCTACGTCTACCATGCAATAAAATTCCAAAAACTTTTTGTGAAAACATATTATTTCATAATCAAAGCAACTTTTTATTCTTATTGTAATAAACATATCATCCACTTTAGCAATAATAAGGAAATCACATTGAAACTGGTCCGGAGTTCGATGACAAATTTTTGTAATAAAAAAATTTTAACTTAAAATATTAGCGTCTACGAGACGACAAGAGAGCAATGTAATGAAAACATCGCTAAGTTCATAAAGCGAATTCTTAAGCTTTAAATTCAAGATCTCGTATACATTTTAAGTATTTAAATGTAGACCAGTAAAACTGAATGGATAAGCGTTTGTTTTACTTATTATTATTTCCTGGGCGTAAGATAAGGAAGTTTATGTAATACAGCTTCTGAATGAAAAAACATCAGTGTCCCAAAGTGACATTTTTATGTGTTATTCAGTAAAATCTCTCGGTGTTCTTGGCTAAGACATTTATGGTGTAATACGCAACAAACTGCACTATAATCTGTCACTATAATTACAAATATTATAACAAAAAGTAAAAGTGAGGCGGGCACCTGTTTTTATTGTACTTATTTGATTAAAAAACGAAATGTCACAATACTTAACTTATAATTTAATTCTTGATAAGGTATCTTCGCAGGTAGATACAATTGAAGAAAAAGAAAGTTAATGATATTATAAAAGCAAAAGTACTAACGCACAGTAAGAAAATTCGTGTCACAATGATAAAAGAAAGTTTTTTCACCATAATAATTCATAGTTATTTTAAAAATACATGTAAATATACTAATTATTAAAAAAAAGATAATCATAAACACCAAATTAAAAATTTAAATATTTTCTGTTGTAATTATTCATTTATTTGAGATTTGGGTAGAAAGTGTTACTTAAGCGATATTTCCCATTCACAGCATTGTTGTTTCATGCTCTAATAAATTCCTAAATAAATGAACGTTTGTTGTGGCTCGAATGTGAATTTCGCAGATCCGCCACTTTTTCTAAATACTTTTGAACAACAGAAAACTATCAAATTAGGATGAAGTCTGCATACTAATATCTAAGATAGACACATTCCCATCGCCGTGAAAGTAGGACTACCCTTGCGCAATAGCAAAGAAAGTGAAATTATCAGCAATTAAGATGCACTTGATATTTGAACTTCTGCTAAAGATGAATCTAGATTGGGTGTTTTGCCAGAGGTCATCAAACTCGTAGATTTTGTATTTCCGGTCGTATTGTCACAAGAAATCGTGCACTGCATGACTTGTTGCAGTTATGATGTTTATTGAACTGCGGTTTGTTGTAAAACTCGTACTGATCCTTCAGCTTTTGATTTAACACAAGCAAACAAAAAGACTTTTACTAAATTAACGGTTTTTTAAATGTTCCATCTTTTTGGAAAATACAGTCTCTGCGAAATCACGGCACCTAATAGATTCATAAGCTGCAGGTTACATAATAAGTAATTCAAATCGAATTTCTTTATTAAAACTGATTTAAAACTTGTATTGGCAGTTGGTTCTACATTTTAAATCCGAATTTTCTATTTTTACTTACCAAGCGTAAGCTAAGGAAGTATTGTAATCGAGTCTATCGAGCTACTTTTATGTTTTTTCGACGTTTCATGACCCCTAGAGTAAGGAAACATAGGCCTGTCTGCCGTCTGTCCGCGTCTGTGCCGATTTTAATTAAACAGATAATCTTCTAAATTACAGAACCGATTAGTCAAATTTTGTATGTATATTAGGAATACCGTGTAGATGGTAAAATGATCACGTCATCTCAAAATTTTGTCGAAAAAGTGCAAAATATGATTAGTCTATACTTGTGATTTATCACTGCGTTAATGTTTTTTAGATTTACTTATAAAAGAAATAAAATTCGCAAAATCAAATTTTATAATATTTCGAAAATGCTAGATATGTTTGATTGTACTTCACCGGCGAGGGAAGTTCTGTCGAAACATCCTTCGACTAATTTTTTTTTTATATGCTTCGGTAAGTCGGTCGACTTAGAAATTCTAACTGTTGTAAAAGACGTTACCCAAGAACCGAATACATTTTTATGCAATTTTACCTTTAATGTTAACGTCCCATAGAACCACAATGGCGTTCAAACGGGCTAATCGGAGAGCTAAAAGACGACCGAGTCCTCCACCACCTCCAGTGATAAGGATTACTTCTCCTTTAAGTTCTTTATAATATTGGTAGGCTTCCGGAAGAATGTATGTAACAATTGACTTCACCACAACTATGAGAGACAGCAGCAAGAAGCCAAGAACATCTACGAGGGACTTGAAAATGTTGTTATTCTTTTTGTGCGCCATTTGTTAGTCATTTGGTAATTAGAACTGAAGTAAGTTGAGAACTATCAACATTGTTGTCCCTAAGGAAGGTCACTTGGATGATGTTTCTGAAAAATAATTAACAATATAAATTAATGATTAGATCATGATTGAGGGCGTTCTACTTATGATATAACGTTATCATGGAACACCATTCATTTACTGCTGCACTTACATCGGATGTCTAAATAAATAAAGTCCGCTGCAGTTCTAGTTATGGTAAAACATGATTACGTTATTTTATTAGTAATATACAGGTGTCCCCACAGGCGTAGTGAAAGCTCAAGTGCTGAGGGAATAATCCAAACAGTTTTGCAGTGGCGACTCGTGGTGATTTTTGATGGGTGGGCAAAGCATTATAGGTAGGTTATAACATGTATGAAAAAAAAATATATACATATATATAATTAATCATTTTTGTGAGAACGTGTTTTTGTTTTGGTGCTGCATGTCAATCAATATAATATAACAAATATTTTATGTAGGTATATTACATATATATTATTTTATAAATGTTACTTACAATGTCGGTCAGCAAGAACCAACGAGAACGTCGAAGACTCTTGGTAGAAGAGGAAAGAGGAGCAAAAAAAAGGTTCAGCACATAAATAGATTTGTTAGAAGTTTATAGAACTATAAACTCAAATAATGATCGCAACATGTAAAGATTTTGAAATAACATGACGAGAAAACATTAAATTTTAAACCTTTGAGATAAGCTACACTTAGAAAAGCAGCAATTTGGAAAATTATTGTAAAAGCAAAATTATAAATGCCAAACAAACAAAACGTAAATTCTCAAAATACTAACAAAGTTAACAATAACAAATAAAATAAAAATAATTCTAAAATAATCGTTCTGAAGACCACCAAAGACTCCTCCAAAAAACTTTTTAAATTTATCATCGAATTTACTTTAAGAGAAATTTGCGATTCATCTTGTCCCCGAAATGTATGTTTTTGTGTAGCCAAGAAAATTATCATATCGAATAAACGCCGAATTTAAGAGAATTTTCTATAGTTTCACTTCGTTTTCCAAGTAATTTTCGTTTATTCAGATTGGTCATGTTTTTGTAAAGCAGTAGCGATATATTTTATATCGCTCTTCTTGTGGAATTCTAAAGTATTCGTAATTTAATTTTAAGTTAAATAGCAGATAATTCCAACAGTTTTGTTTGTTGTTTCACTACCGATCAACCAATAGGAGCCTAATATTTATTGTCCGAACTTTGATTAAAGCCTTTATTACTGCCACGAGAGTTTGTGATGACCAATTGTTTCATTTCGGGACATGATCTTAATTTATAAACAAATAATTCATAAATATCAAGTTCCATACTACTGAATTTATTTATTAAAAACAAAAACTCAATGTCTTTAATGCCTTCTTTACCACCTCTCTAATATTATTTGCACAGCTTACAGTAGGATTTGCCATTAAAAAAAATTGCTAGAAAGTACCTACTTTGGTACCCGCCTAACTATTTGGTAATTTGAATAAGCTACATTTTATAATTAAATGCACTATCCATCCACAATGCAGTTTCTGATCTGACTGAATTCAATTGAGTCGTGTCTCCGACGAGGACGAACCATGCCGAGTGCTTCCGATTTTCAGGGTGGATTTGCCCACCCATGCTAGAGCGAACGCCTAACAAACCTGTGCGGACAGTCTGAATTAAATAATAAATTAAGCGTATATTTACCTTTTGTAGACTCTGCTACAGCTAAATTTATGAAACAAAAATGCATATGTAATAATAAAAAAATACACATGTCAGATACGTACTGCAATAATAAATGTATTACTTATTCTCATCATTAGTTATTCGGATTTTTAAATTTATAATTCATTATAAAGTTTACACGGTGTCATAATACAAGAATATGGTTATTACAAATTTTCATTTGATATGAAAAAGTATTTATTAATTATTATGGTGTTGCTCTTTTCTATAACAATAGTATTCAAGAATTTTCGCATAACATTATTTTCCTTACTAAGTACCTTACCCATATTTCAATAGAGTAATAAAAATAATTACTTCTATACTTTTACAATACAGAAGAAGTAAAAAAATCGAAATTAATTTATTGAATCCTTGAATCGAATATTGAGAGATCCGATTCTGCAGCGTTTGAGATATACGTTGAAGCCAGGGCGTCCTGCCCCGCTTGCAGCAAGAAAGCACGGATACGCAAAGACGCGCGTTTCGAATTCTTTACTCTCAATTACGTACATAGAAAACCGAACGTATGTCGTTGCTTACAATCAAGAGGGTGGACCAGGGTGGACTAGCCCATCCTCACATGAACCGTATAACGCCGAGATCTGACGCACTTTTTTACACTGCAATTTCTCAGTTGCGGAAACTGCGGGATGTAATGAAGAAAATCCGTTGGCTTAAATGATGCTTACGACGATAATTATTTGTGTATACATATACAATATTTAAAAAAAAAAAAAAATCAATATTTTACTTCGTATCATAAACAATCAAATAGGGTGGGCATTGCCCACCCTGCCCACCCCGAGGAGCCGCCACTGCAGTTTTGGCAATTTTACACGAAAAATATAAATTAATAAGATAAACGTATATTTTGTAAAGATGTCTCCGATATCTAATAGGAGTATATATATAATTAATTAATTAATCGTGTGAAAATATTGAGTTGTCATAACAACTTTCGACCAACTTTTTATTTTTAGAGACGTTTTGAGTTGTTTTACGTCTAAATTGATACAAAACCTCTTAGCAGGTCGTTTCTCTGTAGTATTAATATTTACTTTCTAAAACTTTTTCCGCATCACCAATAATTTTATGTTCAATTCTGAACTTTCCAACCCTTCAGTTAACAATTACAATTTATAAATTATATTTTTCATAAAAAAAAGTACAAAAATATTTCCACATTACTGTTTTTTGGTACTAGTTGTCGACTTGTTTAGAGGTAGGAAAGTTCAACTTTTGCGCCCAATGTTCAAAAAGAAGATTGAGGTTATGTACGAAATACTTGATGTAATTATTTCTTAAAGTGAATAAATGTGCGAACTACCATTACTTGAGTACATGCATGATAGTTGGTAGATGGTGGAAGATAACATTAACAGAGATAATGGAGATACAACAGCTAGCAAAATTCTACAAACTTCAGCGACTATATTTCTCTTTCTCTGAAAATAGACTAAAAGCACATTTTCTGAGGTCCCAGCGACCTGCTTCTTTGTACACCAGTCTTTGTACTCTGCATAAACCTTCATATAAATGCTTTTGGATTATTTTTCCGACAATAGGTTTTCTTGAAAATTTTTGCAGCCTGTCTAAAAATATGATTTCAAATTTTTGAAAACTGTTTTGAGAGACATGTCTTCGAATGATGAGAATCCTCTAGATCTCTCGACCTAACTAACACCATTAGACATCTTTTTAGGAGCTTAACCTAAATAGATACAAATATTAATAAATTTAAAATTTTAAATATGAAATGAACATCGTTCAGTAATTCTTTTATGGAATTAATTCCCGGTTTTATAAATAATTTGGATTTAAACAAATACCTTCTTATCACTCCATGTTAAAAATACCTGATCCATTTCTGGTGAACCCCGAACTGATAGATTACTCACTACGTTCCAGATTTCAAGTACTGAACATATTTTTACATCGAATATCATTTTAAACAGCATAGAAGAAACCTATTTCGTGACACTGGGAAGCTTGTTACATACAATAACTTGCTGACTTGATTGATTTTTTTCTACCAAATACGTATGTACCTACTTGGCCTTCAGAACAAAGTTAAGTTATTAAGGTGATTATTATTACAAAGTTGTCATCATAAAATAGTAAAATGCAGCAGATTAATTCAGTAAAAATTATTACATTGATATAATTTATCAGCAGTGCCGAAACCAGAGAATATTTAGGTATAGGCGAACCTTGCGTTAGGCGCCCCCCTCTACACATAAAAATGCAATTTTACAGAACAATTTTATTTATATTTTTTATAAGTACCTATACAAAACAGATATTACATATGATCAAATATAAAAAAGAATGGTCGAAAGTTGTTTCGACAGAATTTCCCTCGCTCCTGAAATAAAATGATAATTTTTTTTAGTCACTGCCAAATATACGCAAATCCGAAAAATATGAATGGAATGATAAATCACAAGTACAGACTCATCATATTTTGTACATTAGGATTTATTCAGCAAAATTTTGGGGTGACGTCATCAATTTTTTAGGCTGGGATGAGCAAATACAATTTGATCAAAAATTTTCTGTTCTTATCATTACTTGAAAATATCTCCAAGATTTGAAAGTATTCGATTATGTAGTTCCTGCTTAAATGAGTAAAATAAATACACGCATGTCATTAATTGTTTTGAGTCACCCTGTATCTGCAAATCCAAAAACTTTGAACGGAATAATTAATTACAAGTACAGACTCTTCACATTTTCTACATTTTAGATTCGGCGAAATTTTGACTTGACCTCATAAATTTTTTGGAGGGGATAAGCAAAAATATTTTGATGAAACATTTTTATCATGCCTATCATAACCTTAAAATAGCTGCAAGATTTCAACGCATTCGGTTTAGCAGATTCAAAATAAAATCACAGAATGTTGTATTATGATTGATTTTTTTTTCCAAAAATTTGAACGTTTCGGGTAAAAAATACGGAGTCACACGGATATAATCAAATTCCAAGTATAACCATTAAAAAAATTGCACATTTTATTATAGATCCACTAAAGTATATAATAAATAAATCATTTGCACAAGGTCTTTTTCCAAGCAAATTAAAAATCTCAATCATTAAACCCCTTTATAACAAAGGCTGCCATTTTTCAGTGGAAAGTTATAGACCAATTAGTTTGATCAGTTCCTTTTCGAAAATTTTTGAGAAAATTATCTATGAGAGGCTTATATATTTCTTTAGTGCAAAAAATATTCTGTCAAATAGTCAGCATGGGTTTAGGACTAAGCTTTGTACTATCACAGCGATCTTTCAATTTATAACAAATGTATACGGCATTATTGACACAAGTAATATTGGTTTGGGTGTTTTTTTAGACTTATCAAAAGCTTTTGATAATGTCAACCATAAACTGTTATTAAAAAAATTGGAAAACTACGGTGTAAGAGGTAATGTACACAACTTACTTGATTCGTATTTAAGAGATAGAACACAAAAAGTTAACATTTCAAAAAACGGACATGAATATTTATCTAATGAAAAAAAGCTTGCTTGTGGTGTTCCGCAGGGAAGTATACTCGGTCCGTTATTATTTCTCATATACATCAATAACCTATCGTATAATATTGAGAAAACTGATTCACATATAATAAATTATGCAGATGACACTAGTGTACTAATATAAGGACAAAATTTAAAAGATCTATCCGAAAAACTAAATTTCATACTTGCAGAATTTCGAACTTGGTTTCACACAAATGGTCTAAAACTTAACGAAAATAAAACACATTTAATGCTGTTCCATCACATTAATAACAACAATAATTATGTAAAAAAGGTAGTACTTGACAGTACCATGCTAAATATAGAGTCACACTTAAATTTTCTAGGGGTCGAAATTGACGAAAATTTAACATTGAACTATCATTTTGAAAGTATAACTAAAAAACTTAGTACTGTGTGTTACATGCTTAGGGAACTAAAAAAAGTAGTCAACCTCGAAACCCTAATAAGTTGTTATTACCGTCATTTCTTTTCTATCCTTAAATATGGTACCACTTTCTGGATAAATTCTGATAACAATCAAGTGTTTGTTATCCAAAAAAGAGCGATGAAAATAATAACAGGTTTAAAAATGACGGATTCGTGTAGGGATGTATTCAAAAAATACAATATATTAACGAAAACCGGGTTATATATTTACGAATGTCTATGTTTTCATCAACAACATAAAAACTATTTTCAAAAAGCTTTAATCAGCGAAAGTTGCACAAGAAAAACGGACATTTCCCGATATCCACGTCATAGAACAACACTGTTTGAAAAGAGCTGTTACTACCAATCCCTCAAATTATATCTATAATTCGTTACCTCAGAACTATAGAGCAATGCAGTTAAGTGTCTTCAAAAAGCAAGTAAAATATAAATTGGTAAAAGCTGAATTATAATAATTATATACATTAAAAGAATTCTCACGAAACATATTCATTTGAAATATCAGTTTATATATATATGTGTATCATGTAGTTACCGTGTTTTATAATTTTTGTGTTTGTGACTAGTTTATATAAATTTTATCAAATTTTATTGTACATGTTTCCACTTTTCAACGACGCATATCAAACACGTTTGTGTGTCCCTGATATTAATAAATATTATTATTAATGTTATTATAAACTACATGTGTAGCGCTATGTTATTTTATAGAATTTGAAATCCATTTACTGTGTACATCACATTATTGGTGATTAGACAAATTTTGGCTAGTGTTTTAGCATCTACATGATAGTCTTAATCTAAATACAAAATGTTACAACAATCGGCGCAGTACTTTCGGAGATTATCTGTCTAAAAAAAATCCGGGACGGCAGACGGACGGACAGGCAGACAGACACCTATTTCTTCGTACTGTAGGGGTCATGAAAGATCGAGAAAACTTAAAAGTAGAGATTCCGTCGACGGAGTCGATTACAATCCTTCCTTTGATTACGCTCGGGAAGTAAAAACAATATAAACATTAA